TTTCTCCCTTTCTTATCTTCATTCCACCTTTTTTGCCATTCTTTTATTTCTTTAATTTTAATACATGATTTCCCTTTCCCGAAAGGAAGTATCATCTTCATTGTCATTTCTAAAGCCCTTTTTGCTAATTTATCAGCTTTTTCATTTCCTTTAACCCCTTCGTGAGCTGGAACCCAGCAGAACCAGACATTAATACCACCTCTATATAATCTAAATAAACTATGCATAATTTCTAATACTAACTCTTTCCTATTATTTCCTTCTCCCTGGATACTTTCTAACACTGCTTTAGAGTCTGTACATATCACCACCCTGTCTGGTTGAACCTCCTCTACCCACTGTAAGCTTAATATAACTGCCATCCCATATTGGAAATGCTGACCGCTCTTGCCTATAGGCGCTGGCGAGAGAAATGGCCAAAAAAATTTGTTATGTCACATGGTATGTCTGTCACGTGGTATGTCCTTTTTATTTTTAAATCTTTATTAAATTTTCAGATGATAAAATAACATTAGGAACAAACAGTCTAAAATAAACAACAATAAGGAATTATTATGAAGATGTATTTATCTATCCTCAAACCCTATGAAAAACAAATGTCATAAAATGTAAATTAAATTAGTAGTTTAGAGACAAATGTACATTACATTGAGTAGACATTTATCTATCCAATAATTATCATACACGCACACTTATACCTATAGTGGTGTCGTTAGGGCTGGTGCAGTGGATTCTGTACAGATTCCCAGTCCATCGCAGATTAAGAAAAAATCTATCCATCAAATTTCTGACCCGCTTAATCCCTCATGGGGTCGCGGGGGTTGCTCGTGCCTATCTCCAGCGTTGATTAAGAAAAGCAATATAACAAAATACTTGCTGGTGCGGAAGTTCAAATAATAATATAATATCAGTAGACCTCAACAGGATTTATCCTGTAAAAGACTATCTAAAAAAGTTTAAACCTGATATTCCTGTGAACTGCACTTTTTGTGATCTTCTCCCAGAAACTGTAACACATTTGTTTTGGTTGTGTCCATACTCTAAGACGTTTTGGTTACACTTTTGCAACTATCTGAACTCAAATGTTATGAAAAATTTTCAGCTTCATTGGAAAAACATTTTATTTGGCTTTCAACTGCAAAGTAAAATGTTTCCCAAACCTTTTCTTATCAATCTTTTAATTTTGTTGGCCAAATTTCACTTGCATAAATTTAAATTTCAAAAAAAAAAAAAAACGGACTTTAAAGCTTATTTAATAGAAGTCAAACAATATTTTCATACAATTCATCTTTCTTCTCATCAGAAAGCTCAAAAACCCATAACAATCTGTTCCCAACTAGAAATTATAGACAACTTAATGTTGTAAAAGATATATTTATTTGTATAATACATACACATATATATATGACACTCCCCAGCGCATATGTTTGTATAATTGCTTGTTTTTTTCTCCTAACTGTACTTGTTTATTGTGACATACCCCCTGGCATATTTATTTATTTGTTTGTTTGTTTATATATTGTTGTGTGACTTTAAGTGAAATAAAAAAATAAAAAAAAATCAGTAGACCCCGCATTGGCTGTCACGGCGCAGGAATTACGGCCGCCATATTGGGGCGGTCGACCTGCTACTCAAACATGCTGATTCAAGCTGAACACACTAATGATGCCTCAGCACTGTGCGGCGTATTTTTGTTTAAATTTACAGACTATTTACGTCAGGGCTCGATGGATTACTTTTCACAATTAAGATATCTTTACATATATCTTTATTTATTCCCTGCCCTGTTACGTCAGCATTTCCAATATGGCTGTCCTTGATGTGGGCGGGGCTTGATGTCAAGCCCCGCCTTCCCGCAGGCTGCAGCGGGATGTACTTGGCAAATATCTCGCAAGGAATGTGACAAAAGTCAAAGCGTGGTGTCAACGTGCTGTGTCTCGCGAGAGCGCGTTTGTGTTCTTGAAGCAGCAGATTCAAGAAGCTGTAATGGCTAAATTGAGGTTGTAATGCAAGATTAACATATGCAAAAAAATAATAATTACAAATAAACTATCAATAATCATTTGTCAGCTGTAATTTTATTTGTGTAAAACTATATGAACACACCAGTAAATAGTTTTTTTGTGCATTCACATTTAAATCAGATTTGAGTGAAAATCCTCTTCAGGTGAAGATTGGACTGACAAGTGTAATTTTTTTTTACATGTTCTTGCCTGATATGTCTTTTAGTGCAACTTCAAATTCAGTTTGTGTGTGTGCGGTTTTTCTTTACAGCAGAACATTTTGGCATACAAGTTCAGATTTTTGTGGTACAAATTCTCTCATTGCATTCTCAAGTTTTCACATTAAATTCACAAGTTCGTTCATTTTTAGGACATTCTATGATAGTATCACAGCTGCCACCTTCTGGTTAAGAAGAGAACTGCAAGTTCCAGAGGCGGTGAATTACTACAATAAAACTGTTTTTGCTGTTTTTTGCCTGTCAGATTATTATTATTATTTTGATTATATCAGCTACTGTTAATGTTACATAGAATTTATCTATGACTAAAAAAAATGCATTCTATACATGTTAATGTATAGAATGCATTTTCTTGTGGCTCAACTTACCCCCTTTGGTGGCTGTAAATTGAGCCAGATTGGGTAAGTTGAGCCACAAGACAAGCTTGAATTTTTTATCTCTTTCCTTTTTCTGCAGGACAGCATAAAAAAATAACAGCTCAAGTTACCCTAAATACAAATTAAGAGATGAAAAACAATGGGATGAAGCTTAAATCAGATAAAATTGGTTTAAAATGTACTAATGTTCACTTCTCCTCCCCACAACTAAAAATGTCTCCACTCCCCTCAAAGTTAGAAAAACACGAAAATGGACTCTGATACCAATAACTTCTCACCTTTACCCTGCAACCAGTCTTCCATTTATCTTGAACTTTTTCAAAAAACACTAAAAAACAAGATAGTCTCCCAGTTAGTTTGATTAATCTATTGATCACAACAGATCTGGCAAACTGAGTTATTCTGTCTGTTAATGTCTATAGGAACAGTAACAACATCCCAATACTAAAGCAAAATGGTGTAATTCAGTTCTATTATAATTTTGGAGGATTATTCAGTTCTTCCCTTTTCAATTAGAATGAATTCTGTTATATTCGCATCTGACTTACAAAATGTAAAACACCGGAGCTGAGATATAAAATAATGAAGCCTAATTGTATGAACTGTAAAATATTTAGTTTTCTGAAACTAAATATTCCTCAATTGAAACCATTAATATCATTTATTTTTATGTAATTGGGTAAGAAAATACTAATTTCAACAAAATCCAATTATGATTTTTAGGAAATGTTGTCTACATTTATTAAGGACCCTTTGACTGCATTAAAATGTGTGTTAATATAAACATGTTTTGGAATGGTCTTGTTTATGCAAAAATATTGGAGTATTATGTTTAGGGAATATTATATATTATACGTATTATTATATATTATACATATTATATTATTGGTTGGCAAGAAAAACTAATTACAATGGAAAGATTTAAAACCTCCAACTATAATAGAATGTAAACAGAGAATTCATTGCGCATATACTGGGAAGATTAACTTCTATTCTTAAAAAAATGAATGCGGAACTCTTTGATCAAAATTGAACAATTTTATAAAGCGTGTGGTTGTAAGTTTCAGAAATCTTTGCTTTGAAGTGTTAAAGCTTTACTTATTTATAAAAACAATCATTTTGTTGGTTTAAAAGTAGTAGGTTTTTATTGCTTTTTTTCTTTTGTTGGTTTTCTCGTTTTAATAATTTTAGTTATTATTATTATTTATTGATATATTCAGTAAGTATAGAGAATTTTCAATCTCTTACAATATAAAAAATAGAAAATAAAAAGTTTAAATTTGCAAAATACGCTTAGAACAATCATTTATTTTATTTGTTTTTCTTTTAGGTCCTTCTTCTCTGCTTTCTTCTTTAGGTCTCTCCCCTTTTTCTGACGTGATGATTTATTGTCAACAGTATGGGGATATGATGAGCTCTGTATCAAGCAATTTCAATTTAAACATGTTCTTTTAGAAATAATTATATCTGCCTAATGTGGATCCCTCAAGACTTGCAGAATGTTCCCTAGTTGCTGATTGCTGCCTTAATTGGTTTGTATGCAGAGTAATATTCCATTTGTGCATTTCCACAGACTAAGAAAAGAAAATAATCTGTTATGGTTTTGTTCAGTGGATTTGATTGCAGTAATCTGATGTGTTTTGTATTAGTTATAACCTTAAATAACATATAAAATAATAGAAATGCCTATTTTAATTACGGAAGATACACATACAGATTGAACATTAAATGCACACTGAGTTCATTTCACGATATCAGGTACCACGATTCTACAGTTGAGAATCTCAATTCTTCCTATTTTCATTTGAAGTTTCACAGCATTGGGGTCGGGGAAGGTCCTGGTCCTGCGAGGCATCTCGCAAAGTAGGCAAGTCACCTCAGCAAGCAGACCTCTGCCCTTTCAAAAATTCCTCTCGTATTATGAACGAGGATCCGGGCGTCACCCCGCATCGTTATTTTCCTTACTCATCAGTTTAAGGCATAACCAATCAGTTGCCGATTAGCACTTCTAGACATCTTGCATCCGCATCTTCGGTCACGGTGCAGAAATAAATCCACAAATTCTGGTGATTAATTGCATTTGTAATTATATCTGACAATATTGAAACATAACTGCTGCGAATACATGCACTTCAATACACATAAATTGGCAAAGTTTGTTAAAACGTGTGTGTGTATATCAAGCTAGGACCGCAAAGCATGTTGGGTAATATAACTTGTCAAAACAAACTAAAATTGGATAATCTAATAGTAAGAGGACTGTTTTCAACTTTTGGAATTAAGCTATTCTTAATTTTTAACAGGTAAAGAATTGAACCTTCCAGGTTTGAAGAAAAATAAAACTAGTCCACGAAGACTCATTTTTGTCCCTTTTGGTCTAAAGCGGTGTCCATAATCAGTGTAAAAGCTCGCTGAAACGCGCATGCGCATTGGCAATAGTGAGGAAGAAAATGGCTGACGTCTCTCTGGATGAAGTTATTCGGCGGCGCGGTATTAACACCAAACCTCCGATTAAACGGTATGCAGACTGTAGCCAACTTTTAAATTGTGTTAGTGAGAAATTTCTTAAGCATTTTGTTGAAGTTTGGAAAGAACAAAAACTAAATATAGCTGTTTTTTTTCTAATTGTTACCTGTGGTAGAATGCTAAAGTAGCTACAGCTAAGTAGCTACCGTTAGCAATAGGCCCTTTTAGAAACGAAGCCTTTATTTTTAAGTAAGCATTACTTTGTGCGCATATAATAAATTGTCTTGATGGGTGCATTAATTAAACATGCGTTAACTTTAAAATTAACGTTTGTTGTTCTGTTTGTAGCTTTTTTCCCCACTTCTGTTTAGCTCCGTAAATGTTGGTTCTTTATGTTCTAATCAGTTTGTGCTGTGACGAAATGCGGCTGCTAAGGGCCCTACACTGAGATTAAGCGAGCTACTTTAACATTAAACAACATGTTTAAACTAAAGTACAATTTGTAAAGCAAAACAAAAAGTATTCTACAAACCCACCTTTTTATACCATCTTTTGGATTATACTCTAATGGCGCTGAATAAGAGGAAGAAGTTACTCGAGAATGTTATTACAGACCCATCATTTGCCAGCAATATCGGCTCAGTACATGTACTTATATGAATTAAAAAAGAGATAAACGCACTCTTATGCATTGTAGGGGTCATTATGTATCAATTTAATATTAAATATATTTAAAACTTGTTGAGCAGAAAAGGTTTTTTTAATCCTTACCACTTTTTCTACATCTATAAATTTGTTTTTCTAAATTAAGTAAACATTTTTTTTTGTTAACCCATTAGTTTTTCAAGCAATTCATTTATCTGTCCATAAATATATATATATATATATTTTTTTTTTAACGAATTAGTTCATTTACATAAATCCATCAAACCATAAATTTTTTTCATTAGATTTTCACTTCACTCATCAAACTGGTTGTATTTTGTCTCAAACGCTGCATATAATCAATAAAACCTCTAATTGCCATCTTATTGCAGAGCATGTAATGCCAATTTAGTGCTATATTCAATCGCATAGCCTACTTTCGTTTTTGTTATTATTTTATCTTTTCTGCACTTAAATGTCCCATGTTAAAAATACAATTAAACATTAATACAGACATAAAAAAATAGTAAAGAGTCCCTCAACCTGGCAGAATATATTTCTGGGATTTCGTCTTGTGGAGCTGCATTCCAAATCCATCTATACCCTGCTTAATCAGTCCATCAATTTTTTTTCTGTCAGGCAACACATCTGTTTATCATGAATCCATCTGTCCATTACAAGCCAGGTTTTATTCCTCCTTCCATTACAGATGAGGTCAACTTAACCTCAAAGGACTTGTTGGAAACAGTATTTCTTGGAACATTCTTTTTTTGTCTTTAGTAGCTAAGATTCCCAAAGCTTCAGGAAGTTAGACTTCATGTGTTCATATAGTCATTGTCTAAAGGAATAAACCAGTAAAATGTTAATGGTGATAAATCCATAACAGTTGCATATCTGTCTGCCCATTCTCCTTTGCTCCTTCCAGCTGTTTTTAAGATGCATGTCGAATCAAATCCACCTGTCTAGACATGCATCTGTCCATTTGGTCATACTTCAATTCATCAAGCTGTCAATCTTTTGTCAATCTTTTGTCTTTCTGTCCTTAATCCACCCATAAGACTGGAAGCCTTTGTTGGAAACAGTTTGGTATTTTTGCCTGTCAGAATTAAATTTGGATTCTTGTTTCTTTCAGGCCTATATTTGGACGTGTTGGAGTGGGTGACGGTAAAAATTTTGATGCCAGGCAAAAAATTGGTGTCAGTGATGTAAGACAACGCCTGGGAGGAGGCACAGGTGCGCCCTGGTCTATACGATGAAGTCAAAGGTTGAAGAATTAAAGTCATCAAATATTTTTCCATTTCTTCTCAGGTTTTCAAGTGAAGGATGCCAGAGAGAAGCTGGTTCAGAAAGATGCACGGTTCAAAATCCGCGGCAGGACAGGGGCAGGGGCAGGGGCAGGAGGTGTGCAGGACGCTCGGCAGATGATCAACTCACGCAAACAGGGGCAGAGTCAGTTAGGCAACCCTGCACAGACCACACTAAAGGCGGCTATAACGCAACAGCTGCAAAGCAAAACAGCTGTGCCACAGATACAAATACAGACCAGCAGTAATCTCGTCAGTGCAAATGCTAGGCTTTTTACTGCTAATGTTCAAGGACTGAATGCCAGAATCGGGACAACACCACAGCTGAGCAATAATGTTCGGGTAATGGATGCACGTGATAGGCTGAGCCTCAAGAGGAGCATTGGAGGAACACAGACGCAAGCAGCTGCTGAGCCACCTCTAAAAATAACCAAGACCATCCAGGTGAGTGTGAAAAATGTTTGTCTTACTTTCATGAATTGCGAAGTGAAGAAACAGGCTCTAAAATGGACTGACTCACTTTGCAGCAACGTCCAGCTGGGACCTTAGGTGGTGTTCGTGCAATGACGCAGGTATATCTGTTTCCATCTTTTGTTAATTTAACAACGTGGGATTAAGTGCTCATTAACACTGTAAAATCTGCTGTTTATTTTCTCTCAGCCTGCCTTAAATGACCTCGACAGCATCCCCAGCAAACAAATAAAGATAACAACTGCCAACAATATGCTACAATCCCGGGTACGAGGGTTTTATTAATCCTCCAAATCATTTGTGCTATGTAAACTATAACTGTATACCTAAATATTTCTGTACATTCTTTATACAGACTGGCCAAGCTGGCTCCATGTTCTCCATGACGGCACCGATCACCAAGGTGGTAAAAAATGATGCGTATACCGCCCCGCGGGCTCCTGTTCCCGTGGCACCCACCAGGCCGTCCAACAGCACGGCTGCTGCCCGGTCCTCTGCTGCAGCTTTAAAGCCGGTTTCCAGGACTCTACAGCAGAGCTCAGCAGAACCCAGTGCTGCAACACCTACTCCTCCTCAGGTGCATCTTAAAAAGGACTCTCTTTCTTACTTTTTCATCCTCTACCTTGAAAATGTCATGACTGAGTTAATAATAATAATAATAATATGTTTTTGTTTATGGGTGCCTCTCAAGAAACTCAAGGTCACCTTACAAAGCACTACAATAAACTCATTAACAGAGACGGAAGTAAAAAAAACATCTGCACTTCTCATTGTAGTCTTTTAATTGCAGAGGCCTGCTAGGATGCAATAGTTGGAAGAGCCTTTAACCTCTGCATGTTAAATAATTGAACCTTTTGATGATCTTGCTCTGCCTTTTACGACTAGATGTTTGTAAAATATATATGTATAGAATTTAAAGTTTGTTTTATTTTTATATTTGAATTGTACCTCTTGATATGAATACACACAGATCAATTAACAGAGATGCTTCACATTCATAATCCAAGTGGCGTTTTAATGTTGACCAAGGCTAAATCAACAAACCCTCCCTAAAATCAGCTGTTGATCTTGGTTCATGACACTGTCCTCTGTTAAGGTCACTAAACAGCATGAAGCCAAATATTTAAGCTGTTGGTGAATAATTATTTTATTGCCAACACTAAAAATCTTTCTTTTCTTTTTTTTTTTTTAGCCTGCTTTTAGCCCATTGGAGGGGACTAAAATCACAGTAAACAACCTTCATCCAAAGGTTACAGAAGAAGACATCGTGGTGAGTAGATGGTTCTGTTTGACTTCTATCTCCTCTGTGACGTGCTTCATGCTGTGAACCAACTAAATCGGGGTGTGGTTGTGCTGCCTGTTTGTCAAAGGAACTGTTCTGTGTGTGCGGCGCTTTAAAGCGAGCACGCCTGGTGAAGCAGGGCGTAGCTGAGGTGGTGTTTGTCCGTAAAGAGGACGCAATCAACGCATACAGGAGGTACAACCATCGCTGCTTGGATGGTGAGTGCCACGAATACATATGCTATGTTTTGAAGATAGAACTACTCTAGCTGTGCCATTCTGATCTAAGTGATCAATTTCCTTTGTCTCTTCTTGTCCCCTCTCAGGCCAACCCATGAAGTGTAACCTTCACATCCAGGGAAACGTCATCACTTCTGATCAGCCGATTCTACTGTGAGTCATGCCCTTGATTAGGATTCATCTTTCTCTGCTTTGTTTTTGTTTTTAAGAGCTCTAGTTTCTGTTGACAGAAGAGGATTTTTTTTTTTTTTTTTTTTTAGTTGGACCCAATTAAAGTAGTGCATCATTAATGAAAATGGTTTTCCATATTGTCTTTAAATAGGCTTTTAGCCCATAATGTTAAACAGTATAAGTGGTGATGCAAGGCTTTTGGGGTGTTTTTCTAATAGCAACAGAGAATTTTCTGTGGTTTTAAACTTGGATTCATTATTCTGCAACAAGTTGTCAGGATCCTCCAGAATATATAGCTCCATCCAACCTGCCATCAGTCTGAACAGCTTCCTTCTCCCCCCTGAAGAGAAGATGCTGAAGAGAAGAGACTGTTGTTAGGATACCCCCAATAATCTTTGATGGTGCTTTTTATGTATTTCCTTTAGAATAAATAGCCTAGTTCCATGTGACTATTCTCTATTGGTTTAATCTGATTTTAGCTTTGCCCATTTTCTCAAAAGTAATCTGTTTAGATTTTAGATAATGAATTGGATCAAATAGTAAAAGAATATTTGATTATTTTACACATTTTATTTTATAGGAAAAATGTCTTACATATTTGGATTATTTAAGGTAATCAAATCTTGTTACAGAACTAGATCAAACCTTGAGTTTGGGTTTTTCTGAATTTTGTGATTGGATTAAATTAGCTTAGATCCAAGAAAACATAGATTAACCTGAACCAGTAAGAAGGTCACCTCATTTGGATGATGCAGTCCCACCCATATTTAACCCTATTTATCCCTACGGTTTTGTTTTCGTTTAACAATCACTCTAATGGAATAAGATAAGCTGTGTAGTCTGTTTAACTTTTGAGTATAGGTCTACAGCAGGCATCCCCAAAGTCAGTCCTCGAGGGCCGCTGTCCTGTAGGTTTTAGGTTTTCCTACTTTAGCACAGCTGATTCTGATGATTGCAGTTGAGCAAAAGCCTGTTAATCAGCTTTCAATTAAAATCAGCTGTGCTGGAGCGGGGATAACCTGCGGGACAGCGACCTGCAGCCAAGTATACATTTGCGTCATAAAATACTGACATCTACTGGTTGATGTGTAACAAAGCAGTCGTTCTGTTGCACATAACCTGAATTTGGTGAACTATGTGGATCAGATTGATCCAAACTGAGATTGCTTTGAAAACTCCTCTTTAAACTGAGTTGGAATACCTATTCCTTGATCCCAGGAAGGGATTAGCAAATCTGTATTGATTAAATCTTTTAAAAGGTGTTCATGCTGAGCTTTGAAAATCTGCAGCTCCCCCAGAGTTACCATGGATGTATTCCTAGTTTGTTTTGTTGTTAATGCTCCCCTCTATGGTCTTTCAGTTTGGGTAGTCAGTCAGTTCAAGTGCAGGTTTGGACTTGTATCATATTCTTTATGACTTCTAATGACAAATTGCGCACTTTGAGATGTTTGTAGCATCTATCTGCTGGTTGGTACCACAAGGTGCCATTCTTGGGCTTCTGTTTAACTCTACCAGGTTCCTCAAGGGTCTGTTAATAGATAACTTGAGACTCCTGTCAGATCTATGGCCTATAGAAATGTTGAATTCTCTAACAGTATTAAAGATAATAGATAATAGATTAAAAAAAAAATACAAGAGCTAAAAAAAGACTTTTATTTAAAAGCGTTTTTTTTTTTTTTTTTTTTTTTTCTCCCCAGCAAATTCCATATTGGGTATTTTCATAAGCTACCATGATTGGCTGAAACCAAACTTTGGTTGGCCAATGCTAGGTGTCGGTTTGTCTAGTTAGCTTGGAAAGTTCTGCTGAATGTCCTTCCTTTCCTAAACAGATTTGACGGGAGCATTCCCAGCTGGATAATGGTCAGGACTAAACCCAGAGAGCCAAATGGCTAAAAAGTGCAAACTGTTTTCCTTCAATCCCTTTAATGATGCATTTCAATCCCCTAAATTATGACCATTTTGTGTTTATGTATCATAAAATTCATTTAAAAAATATTTTGTCACTGGGGTTACTTACAATGGAAGGCAAATAGAAATCGCTCAGGTTTTTTAAGATGTTTCAACCCAAGTGCATTTTCTGATTACTTCAAGTACCGTATTTTCACGACCATAAGGCGCACCGTACTAAAAGGCGCAGTCTCAGTTATGCGTGCCATTTCTGTATTTAACACACACATAAGGCGCACCGGACTATAGGGCGCGTTTTTTATATACCGGTACATGTCCTCTACTACCTTTAAATACCTCTACTGCGTATTTAAAAATACAGCGGGGGCATGCGGGGGTATGAGTGTGCTTTATTCATGTATTTATTACAAACTATTAATCAAACCTGGGAGCTGGCCGTGAGACAGACACATCGCAGATGACAGAGCTGGGATCACTCCTAAATTAACTTAAAATCCTGAAACCTGCCGACGGAATTTGTTCGCTTTTATTACCGGTATCCTGGTGCCTGCAGTTTAAATTATTTAGAAGAAAAACACTTGCCAGCCACCGCGTGAACACGGAGGCTGCCCGGCCTAGAGGCTGATGAAGGGATTTCTACTGTCGGTGCACCGCTGGTATGTGGGGGTCTGAGCGGCTCCGACAGAAATAGATAATCTGGATGAACTGACTGCAATTATTAAGTTTTCAGGCGGACTTTCTCACTTAAAAACATTAAAACTACTTTATTCCCACTGATCACAGCAAATATAGCTGCAAGATTTAGATTCTTTAGATGAAAAAACACCTGCCAGCCGCCGCGGTGAAGAGGAGGAGACCCGCCCAGAGGCTGCAGTTGAATTAAATTTTCAGGTAGAAAAATAGAGCGGGAGCAAAACTGAGTATGGTTGTGCTTTATTCATGTATTTATTACAAAGTATTAATCAAACCCATCAAAGTCATCATCCTCTGTTTCTGAATTAAACAGCTGCGCTAAATCAGACATGCCAATTTCCCCTTCTTCGCTGTCAGAGTCACTTTCCGTGCCGCGCTGCTCCTCAGAAATAATGCCGGCTTTTGCGAAAGCTTGAACAACAGAGCCAGCAGACACATTAGTCCCAGCATCAACAATCCATCCGCAAACGGTGGCGTAATTGCCCGGCGCTGCCTTCCACTTATCGTGAAACTGGTCTCCGTCGGTCATCCATAGCTCCCGTGCCGCTCGCAGCCTTACTTTGAACGGCCGCTTCACACCGATGTCGAGCGGTGGAAGTTCCTTTGTCAGACCTCCCGGGATAACAGCGTTCATTTGATTCACCTTTTTTCTCACATCGGCTGTGAAATGGGCACACAGTCACAGATTAACAGCGATGGTGATGCGTGGAAAAAACCACCTGGTCTCCTCACATACACCTCCCTCAGCCACGCTTTCATCATCTCCTCATCCATCCAGCCCTTTTCATTTGCGTTAATGTCATATGTCATCGGAGCGCTGTGTCTGTCTCGCTGTCAGCTCCCAGATCAGCTTCTCTGATTGGTTGATGCGGCACGTCCAGCAGCAAAACTTCAATTTTTCCATCTCGAGCAGCAGCAGCAGCGCGTTGGCAGATGCTTAAACGCTCCCGACGCGCAGCGCCTGCTGCTCAAAACGCGCTGCGGGACCTTTTGCTGCGCCTATACGCGCATCAACCATTGACTTTGCATGTAAACTCGCTGCTTCTGCTGCACCTGCTGCGTCCGGTTCACACCGATGTCGAGCGGTTGAAAAGCGAGCACAGAATTAATTTGTTTCCCCATGTTTTTCACATCAGCTGTGAGATGGGCACGCATGGAGTCACATATTAACAGCGATGGTGATGAGTGGAAAAAAAACACCTGGTCTCCTTACATTCAGCCACTCTTTCATCATCTCCTCAATGAGGTGGTCTCAAAAGTCGCAGTTACAACACACATAGGGCGCACCGCACCAAAGGGCGCACCGCACATTTTGAGGGGAAAAAAGACGTTTAAGTGCGCCTTATAGTCGTGAAAATACGGTAATTTCTTAATTGAAAAATAAAATTTGTTTTTTCACGAAAACATCAAGTTCACATAAACATTGGTACTTTTATCATGTACAAAAAAGACTGACTTGTTTTGTTTTGGACTCCTCAGGAGACTCAGCGACACCCCAGGAGCAGGCAGCAGCACAAAGAAAGACGGTCTGCCTCCTTCTCTTTCCCGTCCCAGCGGTCAGCGCGCATCCACTCAGCCCACACCTGAAGTGGACCCCCAGACCATTCTGAAGGCCCTCTTCAAGTCCACCGCACAGTCCAGCTCCTCCACCGAGCCCCCCAGCGCACAGAATACCGCCTTTCGCATCAAGATATAAAAGCTGATGTGTGAAACGAATCCATTGCTGAGTTGCAGCAACCTGTGTTCACATTTAAGCCGTGGTTTCCACTGATGTCTAGCAGCCCACTCTCTCTTATGAAACTGGTTTTTACACATTTCATTGAGAAGAATACTTGTAACAGAAGTTTAACAAATTATCAACATTCTTGTTATTTTAGGTTGTGTGCAATCAGATGTTGTTTTGACCAGCTGAAGTAATGTTGATATTTTCCATCAGCATATAGAGGGGATGAGGGCTGTTTTTTTTTGTTTTTTTTTCTATAAAACACGGCTTGCTTTTACTCTGCAGTTATCTGCGCCTTCCAAAAGGGTGATCTAAACGAATGATCCACATGCTAATTGAAAACTGAATTTATTCTTAAGGTTCAGCAGCATTTGAAGACACGCATGCATTTGAATGCGTTTACTTATCAGTCTATCTGAACAGGATATTTCAGCTTTCTTTAGCAATTCCCCACTTTGGGACCTGTTAAATCCAAGTAATATTTCTGCTTGTTAAAATACCTGAAACATGTAAAACAGGAGCAGGAAGAGACCAGTCCCGTGTTTTCAATGGATTTCCAATTTGTGTGGAAGTCAGTGCTCTGGTTGTAACGAGTTTCTCATACTTGTTTAGTTTTGGAGCAGAATAAACTTCATTTGTGTAGTACACATGATGCTCTGTTTATGGCAGGCAACTGTAAATTACTTTTAGGTTGCTCTCTTGGCTTGTCAGTTGAGGTTGTCAGATCTGTTTGTGAATTGTTGCCATTAAATATTTAGCTTTGTAGATCTAGTCCAAGTGGTAACTTTTTTTTTTTATTGGCATTATGGTTATGAATAATTATACATATATGCTAAGAATACATTCAAAGGGTTTACACTTATGATGGGTTCTTCTTTTAATACCTATAAATCTTTTGTCAGGTGTCAAAGAGTAAACGGTGCATTAGGGACATTTGTCCCAAATGCCTTTTCTTAGAATATGCTAAAAATGTTTAATTTAACTCTTTGTACCCCAATGACATGGGGTACAGTTGTACATAAGTGAAGTCTGTCAGCAATTACTTTTACAGTTGCTAACGTTACTACAAGTTGAGCGTTGTTTTCTGTTGAGCCTTGATAACCATAAAAATGTAAATCCAACTTGAATTTTTTTTTTTTGTCCCATAATAACTTTTATTACATTCCCCCAAAATGGCCATATTAACTGCTCATATCTGATATATATATTTATCTCTATCTCTATATTTTCACAATTTAATTCAGTATAAGGCTATAAACAGGAACTCTGCTGAGGGTAATATTCTGCCTCAACATGAAATGTTTTTCCCACTGAAGAAAAATCGGTCATTACAATTAAATATGATTAAAAAAATCAAGCTGTAGGCCTACAGCAGAAGAGAAAACATCTAGAAAAGAAAATACGCTGTGCTATTAATAAATATGGATTTAGATATTTGGCACCAACATGTTTATTTTTATGCATAATTTTTTTATTATATTTTGTCATATTCACAAACGCCCCTACAGAAACTATGGCATATAGGGGTATATATTTTTTAATCAGCGCCACATATGCGACCAAAAAAAAAAAAGAAAAGGCCAGGAAAAAAAAAAGAAAAAAAATCATTCCGGAAGGTACGTCACAAGTGCTTCCGGTTGAAGAGGTCATACAATATGGCGCCGTCTAACAAGAAACATGCTACAGAGAAGGCGTGTGTTATTCCTGGAGGATTCACAGGTATTTTTCGTTACTTTTTTTGTTACCACCATCTTCTTCATAGTGTAGTTGCTGTTAAAAAAAATCGGCTTTTCGTTTATGCATGTTTTGTTTTATGGAGCCTGCTAGCTTGGTGCACTCGGATGCTAATGTTTTGGTCCCATCTCTCTTCAGTGTTGTCCTTACAGTTCAGCTCAGACAGCGTTGCTCAGCACTCTCTGTATGTGAAGGAGCATAAAGTCCGAACCGAGAAGAGTTCCTACAGGCCGCTGGATCGGACCTTATTTGTCCTCAACGTTCCTCCATACTGCTCAGAGGTGAGATCCCAACTCACAATAGGAAATCGGCCCATAAATCAGAAGTCTAATTTTAATGGTCTTTTAAGTGGTTGATTAAATTGGCTGTCTTTGTCCTCTTTTGTGTTTTAGAGTGTCGTCAAAGACTTATTCTCCCGGTTTGGCAGCATTACTTCAGTAGAGCTGAGGGATCACCCTGGCTCCTCTGAGGATTCCGGACCCAAACTTTCCAAAATCTTCAGACCAGTTAGCAAACAGGTCAGCTTGCGTTGCAAATTTCAGACTATTCAGATTGTTTTTACACAATACAGATAAATTAAAGGTATTTCAATTCACTCCTCCCAGGGTTTCAAAGTTGGCTACATTGTGTTTGAAAGCCCGTCTAGTATAGGAGCTGCTAAATCTCACCCACATGATGATCCTTTGGTGGTCAGTACAGAGCAGCGGCCAGTGGAAACAGGAATACAAAGTAAGTCACCACATCTCAACTCCTTTGACTTCCCCCTCCCCAGAATTTACATCACAAACAAATATAAAAATACCAACAAATATAATAATAAAAAAATCTAACTTTAAATTAAATTATCTGGTAATTTAATTTCCAAAGCCATTTATCTGTACTATAATCTCAGTGTTAATCCAGATTTATTTTGTGAAGACTGCAGAGGTTATAGGAGAGCATTAGAGGAAAAAAAACGGAAAAACGAAGGAACACAACAGAAATGTCAGATGGCCATCTACCTAAATGCACTGTACGAAGAGAGAATTGAAAACAGAAGATGCCAAAAGGTCCTCTAGTAAATCCAATTTAGCAGCAGAGATCTACTGCTAAGATGGTTAATGTGCTGTAGGGAATACTAATAGTTCTTTATTGGGGAGGGTTGTCTTAGTGGTTAGAGCTGTACGCTTGTGCTCTGAGAAGGTTGCAAGTACCCCGTTTGTTTCCCACAGCCTGCATTCTGGGTCTCTGATCAATACCCTTAACCCCACACTGCATCCCGGGCGCTGCACAATGGCAGCCCACTGCTCCCCAAAGGGGATCGGTTAAATGCAGATAATTCATTTCTCCATTGTGAGATTAATACAGTTAATTTTCTATTTTTCTAGTCATTGCAAAAAAGCACTAAATTATGTTTAGGCAGAGGACAGCAGTGCATTTTTTGACCAACATGGTAAGATCTATATACAGTAAACCACAGGATAAATGCTAACACTGCAAATCAACACAGTGGTGATAACATCAAGCTGTTCTCAGTTCCTAGAAAGATGGATAGAATGACATAGAACAGCTACTAAAAATATGAGGACTATGTATTGTTACCTACGGAAAAAATGAGCCACTAGTGCCCAACAAATAAATAATAATAAATTGAAATACAAAAACGGGAAAAAGATTGAGTGGTGCAACTGCTTTGGCAAGGTGCTATGTCTTCTATCATGTTAGTTTAACTGTAAAAAGAACCTCTTGATCAATATTTAGAAAGCATTCAGATGGTTGTTAATAAGCCCTTTAAATGGAGGGAAAATATGATGCATGCATGTTTGGCTTTCTCCCCATGACAGAATGGATCCATCAGTACACAAAGTCCTTCATTCACCCTGACAAACTGCAGTTGACAGTCGACTCATTCATGCAGGACTACGACAGGCGGAAAGAAGAGGTAAAAAGAGAGCACAACTTTCCCTACTGAATATATATATAAGTTCAGAAGAACTTAATCTAATATTTGTTTGTCGCAGGAGGCTGAACGCCAGAGACAGGAAGCTGAGAAACAGCAGGAGGACGAGGAGGGCTGGGTGAAAGTCACAAGAGGCCACAAAGGCGCCATGGCTCGGCCTCACAGCGAAGCTGCCAACCAGAGGACTCTGCAGAGGGAGGGCAGGAAGAATAAGAGGAAGGAGTTGATGAACTTCTACACCTGGCAGCACCGGAATACGCAGAAAGAACGTAAGTTTTTCACTTTATTACACTTGACTATCAAGGCACACTACAGTTAAGAGGGAATTTAAAAAAAAAATGTCCCCCTATCTATTTTCTTCCCCAGATATTGCTGAACTGAGGAAGAAGTTTGAGGAGGATAAACAGCGGATAGCTCTGATGAGAGCACAGAGGAAGTTCAAACCTTATTGACCAAAAGCCCCTTTTTGGTTCAGTTCACCGTTTCTGATCACAAACATAAGATTATGTTATTAATTAACGTTTGTTTCTGTTTCATGGCTATTAAATAACGGATTCCAAACGACACCATGGGGAAGGGTAGCAGTTTGTAAACTGTAAAGGTTTATGTGTTTGTTTTGATATAACGGAAAGTTTTGTTCCTACATTTTTTTTTTTTTCTCATAACAGCTTTTGAAGTTTTTGGAAGGTAAACTCCTTCATAATTATTGGGACTTTTATTATATAAAGTTTTGCATAAATGTGAAGCAAAACAATGCAGAGTTCATTATTTGACTGTCTAAAAACTGCATGCATACACATCGATCTAGCTGGACATTGGTTTGCAAAAATATTCATACCGCTCAAAATGTGGCTCAAGCTCAGTCTGATCAAATGAAAAACATTTGTAACAGCAGTTTTTTTTTTACTTGTCACATATTCTCGATTAGGTTTAGGTCTGGACTATGACTGGACCATTTTAACACATCTAATAAAACAGATTAAACCAAATGAGACATTTTCACAGCGCAGATTCCATTCTACCATGGTCTGGTTGGTGTGTCACGACATGGTGCCATCACTTTCATTTCCTCATTATATTCTGGCTCTGTAAGTCACAAAGAGTTGTTTTGGAAGCCTGGCATTATGCTGCTTCTGAATAAAGATGTGGCTGTTATGATACAAAGAATTCAGACTAGAGGACTTGGTCCCCTGCAATGTCTACAGGCCATTGTTTCTCAGTAACATCACTCCATGATTGGCTGGTCACTCAGGACATAGCATGGTTGAAGAATCATGTGGAAAGGACTAATAGATGCGTTAAAGAGAGCAACATATTTTACACTGTTATCCTTTTAAGTATTGCAGATAGTTTCAAGCAGCTTTTTACAGAAGCCTGATTAACTTGATCTAAGCTTGGGGTAAGGACCTGACTGAGAGGTAAGGTGCACTTAGGAAGATCAAATGGGTGATGTGCAGAGCTCCCTCTCCACACCACCTTCTAGCTTCCCTATAGATTCAAAGCAATGTAATACTTCATGTGACTGAATATCGGTGCTTGGAATAAAACTGCATTTTTTACATTAAACAGTTCATTGGTTCAGGTCTTGCATCATTTTTCAAGTTATTACAGCCATGACGCTTTATGACGAACCATAAGAAATCCTTTTCTAAAAAGGCTAAATACAGGGAGATTAAAATGTCTTATTTTAGCTTCAGGTGTAAATATTAGGAACACTGTTTTTGCTGTTTTTCCAACTCTTATATACATTGTGAAATCTTGTGAAATTTATTTTATGCACATACTTTTTGAGAAAAATTATCTTTCAGACACAAAAACGAGTTTTTCAGCATATGTAAGTTAGAATTAAACCTAGTTGATTTACTGTTGAATTTGATGGAGAGGTGAAAAACTGCAACTTAAAGAATGCTGCATGATAAAAAAATATTGATCACTTAACTGCCTTCTTAATACCAGAAACTCGTCAGGTTAAAGAACTGACATCATTCTGGTGACAGCGGGGTATTTCTACATGTAAACCTTCGGTTATCGACTGTAGCAGCATGTCTTCCTGAGCACAAAGCATGGAATCACACCACCAAAGGCCAGTTATAAGAGGTCGATTGTACCTGCTGATAGGAGTAGCTTTAACTCAGTGTTGTACCACATTTTAAGGTGTCTGCAGTTCACATCATTCTTTGGCGAACTAATATGCAAATTACATGAATAGGCAAAAATTATGAAATGTCTCTCAGCAATATTAAATCTAATTGAGTTTTCTATTAACAGTATGTAGCTAAGAAAGTACACTAAGTTAAATTACATATTAGCTCATTATTCGTCACGTTTGTTAAATCTATTAAAATTTTAAAAAAATAATATTGTTGCTACTCTAAAATGAGGCATACAGCTCCTTTAATTTGGTAGCAGGATTTTTAAAATGAGAAATATAAACCTTTGCAGGCTCCTAGAGAAATGTGGTATATAATCATGTCATTCTTGCTTCTGCTTTGGTTCTGCTTTCACCTGTTGTGAGAAAATTGGACTCCAGAAGGGAATGGTCTGTCCCATTTTGAATGCGGAGTTCATTCACCTGCTTTACCTTTAAAATCTGAAGAAACCTCAAACCAAATTTTTATTTAAAAAAAAAAAAGGATCATCAGTATTAATTCAATCATCCAGTTGCCTATAACATTTTACTGAACAGACCAAACCTGGGCTAACATGACTCCTGGATCATATAATAGATGTTTGGACAAAAAGGTCCCAGCAAATCTGCCTCATTGCTCAGAACATCCATGACACGTTGTTGAGGACTGGAGTTAACCCCCTGGTGTTGGGCCTACAGCCGTCTGGAATACTGGAATACTCTCCTGGGTCAGAGAAAAGTAAAGCTACATAGTTGGTCCTCATGGACCATTAGGCCTCTGATGCTGACTACAACTGCACCTGCTGCCCTGTTTCTGTTCTGACCATATTTCTAGAGATGCATCCCTTTAAAGACAAAATAAGGAACCAATATCTCCTGATGAGGTTAAAGACAACCACAGAGCATCACTGAGGTGGAAAATGAAACTCAAAGCTGTTCGTGACAGAGTTGTATGGGGAGTTGGGGCACTTTTGCAAAGAGGCAGAATAGGAAGAGGATTTAGAGCTTGTTCCTGAACCCAACTATAAATGAAAAATTTCAGTTAATTTACTTTATCCAGACTTTGAGCTTTCCAGGTTCTCTCGGTAGAAGACTGATGACCATCCTTCTGCTGAAGCTTGATCTCTTGCTTTCCCCCCGCCCCTCTTAATCTCAATTTTGTGGTTTCAATCTGTTTTTTTCTTTTTTTACATTATACATCTTATATTGATTTATAGAGATCTCCCTTTTTTGGAAACTAAATCCTCCTGTTGCCCAGAGGACATATTTTACCTGTTGGTGATGCCATTTTCCCAAAGTCTGCTCTCAGCTGTGCTGCTCAGCCACCATAGCATAAATCTGTGCAAAACTTTTCAACTAAATAGACATTTGTTACCCTGAAGTGAGATGCTGTATATCTTCTCTTTTTGTGTGTTTTTTTCTTCCTTTTGTTAAATCCTACATGATTCTAGATCGTAAACTGGCTCTGTCTCGGTTTATCTTTTAAGTTGATGATCAGCTTGGTAAACCCACTAGATGCAATAAATATTCTTGAGGTGTCCAACGCACTGCATCACAGGAGCCCTTCAGGAACTAAACCTAAAAACTTAGAAAAATGCAGACTTCGCGTATTTTAAGTGGGAAGAAATGTGGAAGGGCCCTGCATAAAATCAAACGTAAAAACAAGAATGGAAATTAACTTTATTTTCAGAATTACAGTTGTTCACTGAATCCTTCAAAACAGTAATAGGAGCAAATATATCTGTCGACAAAAAAACTAAAAGAAATCTAACACCATTTATGTTCTATTTTCACCCCATTCACTCTAACCTTCCAGTTAGTTTTTTCTGAAAGATAAAATTCTGGATGATCAACATAATATACAGCTATGATCTTAGCTACAAGGCAAAAAACAAAAAACGATTTACTTAGATTATTTAAAGTGATCTTGTGATTTTCCCCCTCTTACATCTTTGGCTGTTTGACCGAAGAGCAAAGAGCAGAATCACCAGCAGGAGAGCACCGACCCCACAGAGAACATACACCATCCCTCTGATCGCTAAGGAAGAGGGAAAACAAAAAATATTTATAAGCACAAAAAAATAATTAGCAAGTTTTCTGACAATTTGACCGAAGGTTTACCCTTGCTCAGTTTTTTAAACTGCACATCATCCTGTTCGGGGTCATTTTCGACCAATTGAAGGGGCCCCAATGAGACAAGCTGGCCTGGAATGGATGCAGATGTGGTCCGTCTTCTCCGTCTCTCAGGATTTGATGCTGAGGAGACAAAATGCAAATAAAACACACACAAAAAAAAAAAAAAAAATAAAAAAGGCCATACTTACAGGTCATAGAGCAAGGTTGGCTACAGTCCAAGTCTTCTGTGCAGATTTCCACCCAACAGTAGAAGTACATCTAAAATGAGAGATTACTTCCAGCTATCACTGTAGACATACACACTTCCAACTTCATTACCACTGCAATGTAAAACGTTAAATACAATTATTGCAGTAGCCTTATATCACTAAAACATTAATTTATTTAGTGGGGATTGAATTACATTAGGTCAGCAGTGATATTTCCAGTTTTGTCAAATTCCACAATTTTAATCATTTGGAATACAACACAGCTTGACATGCATGCCAACTTCTTGTAGCCACCAACATCTAGGCTGGATGGAGACCCATGTTTACATTACCACCAAACAAAGTTGACAGGATGGTAAAGATGGTAATGGAAAAAAATAAAATCCACAGAGCTTACCATTAAAGAACAGCATCCTAGACACCATGTTTCTAATCAGTATATGCTGGCTGCATGCTAAGCTCTTTGGGAGGCACACTATATACTGAAATGTACACTAGAAATGTGTTAAATTTTCAGAGATTAAAAAAAAGAAAAGTTCACGCGTGCGCTGCTTCATATTTCATGATTGTACAAGTTCTTTGTAACAATGGGAGCTATGTTTGCTGTTATAAGTGGGTAAAAAGTAGTTTTAATGTTTTTAAGTGAGAAAGTCCACTTGAAAACTTCATCTGTGCATTTTTCATATACGTAATCTAAACTGAAGGCAACAGAATAATAAAAGCAAACAAATTTTGCCAGCAGGTTTCGACATTTTACATTAATTTAGGCATCAAACTGTTTCAGAGGAGTGATCATATCGTTCCGATTCAGCAGCGCTGTGTCCGTCTCCCTGCCAGCTCCCAGGTCAGCTTCACTGATCGGTTGATGTGACGCTTTGAACAGCAAACGTGCATTTTTTCCCCACTCCAGCAGCTGCTGCTTTTGAAGCTTGTGATGCTAGTGAGACGTTGCTTCGGCTGCTCAGACAGCTGCTCCTGCTGCTTAAAACGCGCTGCTGGACCTTTTGCTGCACCTTCATGCTGGTCAACCAGTTACTTTGCATGTAAACTAGCTGCTTGTGTTCTGAACATAGCATAGTCATTAAATATGGTGCTGAATATGCGTTGCTGTTACTTCCAAAGACTCTGGGAATTTGTTTTAAACAAAACAATCTGATTTACTTGAGCAATGGGAGTAAGCACAACAGAGACTTAATTAGGAGTGGGTTGAATCAGAATTAAAAAAAAAAAAATTTTCACCAGAAAATCTCCCAACACCAGGATAAAACAACTGATGCAAATCATTCATCTACCCAATTAGCTGTAGGATCTAATTAAGGGGAATAATAGATTTTTTTGTAATCTAAAAGTTGAGTTTGATTCCAGTTTTCTCCTGTTTTATAATTATTTTCCCTAATGGGCAAGGCACTTAATTACAAGTTGCCTCTCGGCCTGCATATCAGCTCAGTGAGTGCAGCTTGTAGTTTGCAATTGTAGTAAATAAAGCATTTTGAAGGTCAGAGTGGCTAGAAAGGGGTCAAAATAATTCAATCTATAAACCATTTCACATTGCAGACATATTTAAAAAGGGTGTCAATATTTGTGTGCAGAACTTCATATAAATTTTGGTAAGGTTACCTTTTCCGCACTCCGTTTGCCAGTATTAGGATCCAAGAAGGCAAACGTCTTCACATCAAACCTCCTTACTAGGGAGTGAGTTTTGTTGTTTTGCAGTTGGTCCAAAGGGACAGAGCTTCTCCTCTTGTCTAGAGGGTTAGGACATCTGACCAGGAAAACTGTAATCATTCCATTTTCACATTCCAACATGGTCCTCAGGTTGGTCCATGGTAGAGTCACCACTCACCCGTCATGGAGGAGGGTCCACACCGAATGCTTAGAGACAGGGTAGGCGAAGCAGTCAAGTACCCGCAGCGAGAGTGTAGGATCAGAGAATGGAGGAACAATGGAAATCTCCACATTAACCTTTTCACCCAGAGGTAGTTTTAGGGGAAGCTGGTCCTCGGGAACAAAGGCAGTAAAAGTTGCATCTGGAGGGGAACCAGAGTAGGTCAGGACGAAGGGGGTGTTGAGCCATCAGAGCCAACAAAAGTAATTCCTGTACCTGTTGC